TTACTTCTAATACACGTTGCCGGTTTAGTCTTTTACCGATTGAAAAGGACACCAGAATCCAGTCTGGAGTATTTTATCCCGAAGCCTAAGTAGGGATAAGTCAACGCTTAACCCGCGTTGCTGGGTGGTTCGTTCCCGTAAAAATGATCGAGTCTACGTATTCAGCATCGTAGCAACAAAAATCCATGCCTTTTATGCATGGGGAATTTTGGGATTTTTATCCTGAATCCTAAGTAAGGATAAGTCAGCGCCTAACACGCGTTGCCGGGTAGCCTGTTCCTGTAACAATGGCGAAGTCTACGTATTCGAAGTCGTAGCATCAAGTCTAAGGGAGTTCATTCCTTTAGCACAACGTCACATTCGGAACGGATGTAAACAATCCGCTTGCTAGCCCGACTCGAACGGTAGTCGGTAAAGGCACATCAAATCCGTTGAGGGCTGAGGATTTACCAAAAATCCTAAGCCTACGTCTAACACACGTTGCCGGGTAGTCTATTCCCGTGAGAAAGACGAAGTCTACGTATTCAACATCGTAGCACTAAAAGGGTTAACTCTTTTAGCTTAACGTCACATGTGGAACGGAATTAAACAATCCGCATGCTAGCCCGACTCAAACGGTAGTCGGTAAAGGCTCATCAAACCCGTTGATGGCTGAGGATTTTCCAAAAATTCTATAAATGCGAGTCATTGACGCACCAGCTCCACTAGTTGGTCTCGTGACTTGAGCATCCAACAACTTCAGGATAAGATCCACACATGCAGATGAATCAACTTTAACAGTTGGTCCTACAGCCCCAACACTTGGGACCGCCGTGCTCCAATATCTTAAGAGCTTAAACTGTGTATACTTCAGTAAACGTACGAGTATAAACTGTGTCAACGTCGGGCGGTCTGAAACCCAAAGTCAACACTGAGCAATCTGTAACCCTAGGTCAACGCCGGTTAACGCGTAACCCTAGGTCAACGATAGTCAACGCGTTGCGATCAAAAAAGTCAACGTACGACATTCGAAACCCTAGGGTCAACGCCGGTCAACGCGTAACCCTAGGTCAACGCCAGCCAACGCGTTGCGACCAAAAAAAGTCAACGTACGACGTTCGAAACCCTAGGGTCAACGCCGCTCAATGCGTAACCCTAGGTCAACGTCAGTCAACGCGTTGCGATAAAAAAAGTCAACGTACGACGTTCGAAACCCTAGGGTCAACGCCGGTCAACGCGTAACCCTAGGTCAATGCCAATCAACGCGTTGCGATCAAAAAATCAACTCAATGACACGAGCCAAACTCAACTCATCAGTTGCAGATTTGAGACTTCGACGATGGCCAGACGATAAACGCAACGCCGGAAGGATTTCAGCTATTCATCAAAGCATCGAGTAGACTAAAAATCGAATGAGTCAAGAAACGAAGCTAACTACAGGTCCTTTACGCCGACTGAAGGCTGGACCAATCACATCCAAAGTATTCCAGCCTCTTCTACAAAAGAAACGAGTCTGGAATGCTTTGGAGGGGATATCTGTAGGCATCAAAAATTACCTATAGGTCTCCACGAACAGCTCAGTGTTAAAAAATGACGATGAAAGTCACCATCTGGTTCACAGAAGCTTGATTGATGTCGGTGAACGCTTGAAGTAAACCGACGAACTACGTGAAACAACGGAGCTTCGGAATGATGAAGATACGAATTGATCGGGAACCTCGTATCGTTCACAAACGGCGAAATACCCTTCGTGTCTCATTTGTTCAACTGATGATATAATCATTGGAGCTTATAGAACTCTTCGTCAGCTTTCTAACGCACTTGGAATCACTCAAATCCGAGTTCGGACGAAGAATTTACGGCGGAAACAATCAAACAGGCATAACACGGCGTCTCAGCTTGAATGAGACACCCCGAGGTGTCTCAGCCCACCCGAGACACCCTTGGGTATCTCGGCCAAGGCTGAGACACCCTAAGGTGTCTCGGCCCAAGCCGAGACACCATAGGGTGTCTCGGCCCAGTTTGAGACACCCTAGGGTGTCTCGGCCCAGTTTGAGACACCCTGGGGTGTCTCCAATGCAGAAATGGCCTTTTAGGCTGTTTTAACCGCCCGAAACCCCCTGGAGACTATAAATACAGTCCCGGGTCCTCATTTTTTAAGATCTGGAATTCGCGTGCCTCGGCGAAGCCCTGCCGGATTGAAGACTTAAAGTGCACAGATTTCAGAGAGGAGGAAGAGTTAGATCTGCAGCCCGATTCGTTCCTTAGGGTTATCCCGTTGCGGTAATCTTAAGAAGAGTGATTATCTCGCTTCGCCGAGATAAGAGGTACAGTTTCTCGATCCCTTCGCGGATAGACGAAGCTCTGCCCAATTTTTCAGCAAGTAGATCTGATCGACGGTGGTCCACGGATAAACCCCGGCACAAGCAAAGATCCCACGCAAGCAGAAGACCGATAAACGATCTCTGCGTTTGTTTGATAAAGTTGTAAAATTTTTTTATTTTCATTGTGTAAGGAGATCTTATAAAAAGATTAACTTTTTATTTTATTCGAGTTTATTGTAACGACTAAAGTTGTAATAGATTCGGTAGCAATGAAAACAATGAAGAAATCAACTTTCACCGCAAACAATTAAATGCATTGATATGGTCTTGAATAGCAGTACATTCTTCCATCTTTAATGAATAAAGCTCCATCCTCAAATACAATCGATTTTTCATCGACTCCGACGCATAAATCCTCTCTAGCTTATCCCACAACCCCCTTAGCGTGATCTTCTGCATAACATTGCACTTGTTCTCAGGGGCGAGTGCCAAATAAATTGTGCTGACCGCCTTCCTGTGCAAGGAACTCCATTCATTATCATTCATCCCTTTAGGGGTTTTCTCCTTCGAAGCTTGATCAACACCCTGCTATACAAGAAGATCTTAAAACCGTACACCACCATATTGTAAAATTTGTCTTGCCATTGAATAGCGGAATATTGAGCTTCGAACCCCAAGATGTCATCATCCTCTAACTACAACCAAATTCAAACCAATCACTCAATAAGTTGACTTTGGCAGAACCGACATAAAAAACAAACTCAGCATGTCGAAAAATCTTAGGAACAACTCTTGGATCACCAAAATCCACGTCCACTTCCTTGATTAGAAGACAAATCAATCTACATTGTCGGATTTAATTTAAAAAATAATTTTTAACCAAACCTCCACTCATGAATAGTGTTCCCATTGCACTTGTCGTACCTTCATTTTTTTCTTAACATGTTGTTCACGTGATTCCTTTCTTTTTTCTCATGATCAGAGAACCCATAACTCCTCACAATCACAGCAGCTCGCACCTCCGATCAGTCTCTGATGGCCTCCTCAAAGTTCTCTCGTGCGCCGATGCCAATCCACGTTGTCTATCTCCAACGCCTCGCTGATAGCATTGGACAAACCTCTATGAACCATTGAACATCGCTCTGATGTTACTTGCTGGGAATTTTAGATCTCGAAAAAACCCCAAAAATCACCAAACGTAGCAAATACAATCACACACAAGGTTTAACGTAGTAAAGCCTTAACTAGAAATATCACGGGATCGAAAATAATCCACTATCACTTGCAAATTATAATCTTTTATATGGATAAAGACTATAAAACCCTCTCTCTCACAATACCCTTAAGATTGGTTACACCCTCTATTAAGCCCTAATTACAAGAATATTGTATCACTCTCTGTTAAAAAACCCTAGAATATGATGTATTATTTAAAGACACCATTGACTTGCCCACCAAGTAGGGGTGTTAACGGAGCCGATACGGCTCGGATATGGCACTTACCATATCCATATCCGCTTACCCATCTCGGATACGAATACGGATATACGTCGGTAAGAAAAATTCATATCCATATCCGTCAAAATCGGATACGGTTACGGATATAGATGCGGATATATAAACGGATATGCATGCGGATACAAAAAGAATATGAGAAAACTAGATAGTATTCAGAAAAATATAGTCATGTGATACAAAAAGAGTTCGTTAATATGTTCATTATGATTGAAAAGCTAAGATTAGACATCTTGATCGTCAAAATTAACCACAAATCCATAATCTAAGAATCGAAACTATCGTAAGAGTATTACCAATATGTATTCGGATATTTTCGGATACGGATACGGATATTTCACTACAAAACCATATCCGCAACCATATCCTATCGGTAATAGATTTGAATAACCATATTCGTATCCTAACGGATACGGTTACGGATATTTCCTCGGATACGAATACGGTTTGACACCCCTACCACCAAGTCAACTTCGCCTATAAGAAAATTATAAATTTAGCCTCTAAGAAAGCTACTAAGACTGGGCCTAGCCTTCAAAGCCAGATCCAACTTGGAGTTTAAGTCGGTACCCAACAGTTTTTACGGCATAGTCAAGTTAGTGATAAATGAGGATTTGAACTAGCTAAGGCTAGGTGTTACTCGCTTCGGAGAGTTAGTTAGACGATTAGTTTTGGATAGATTACATGGTGCGGTCTTTATAAGCCTACTGAATCGGATTGTGATTCAAGTGAACTCTTGGTATAGTGAGGAATCTCTGAACTGCTATAAAAATCCGGTGCATTTCATGATTGATTTTTAGTTTGATTGTTCGCTTTTATTTTTCTGTATTTCCACTGCTTATTCTGTGTTTTAGAAAAATTGTAGTAAATCTGTTCAGCCTAACCCCAACCATGCATCTCAGATCTAACAATAAATAAGCTCAAATGTCCATTGCCAGTGCATATTCTTGCAGTATGCCAGTGTCAATTATGTCTCTCTTCTGATTATTTTTTGGCACAAGACCAAGCTGAATAAGGCTTTAAGGTCACTGTTTAAACATGTGAAACATCTTCACATCCGTTACACAAGCTTCACTCATAAAAATTTTAAAAAAAAATTCGATACTGCTTATTTCCTACGAACTCCTAAAAAGAATAAATTAAGCACATGAAATTTGTCAAAATTTAAACTTATCACTCAGATTAGATTCTCAAATTCATATTATTAATAGTTAATAACATATGATTAATACGACAATATATAATCTAGCAACTGCTCATGATCACATCAAATTAACGAACTAAAAACAGAGCCTCTTCCTACACGTCCATTGTGAAATCAACCCCTTGAAGCCAACCCCCAACATCTCCCTCACAAACTCATCTACCAACTCTCTAAATATACCTCTCTCTACTATAACAACAACTTTTCCTAGCTCACACGTTTGCTCTAAAACCCCGTTCTCCCAAATTTCACTCACACTCTCTGTCAATGCTTGGCTCCTCTTGCGCTCAGACGGATGTCGATGATGATTGACTTCTGTTAGCCTCTTCGTCTGAGAGAATTGTTCGAGGAGGTTATAGTATTGCCTTTGAGTCGGCTTCGTCGGCAATCTATGGACGATGATCTGGTTGAAGAACGAAGAATGGCTCTGTCTGTCGTGCTTCTTGCTCTCGTTAAGGTCCCCTGCGTGCGTTATGGAGATTAGGAATTCATGAACTCTAAATGAAATATCTACTACTGGCGTAAGAGAAATTTGGTTAGGAATTTGTTCACGAGTAATTTAATTAGGCTATCATGCTGTTCTAAAGTATTAGTTAATTTATCGTCGCATGATTCCTACAAGATGTGTCAATTTAAAGAGAGTGGTAATATTTGAGTTCATAGAAGTATTAATACGACAGTGAGGATGTTTGATATTAGGCTAATACTACATCTTAGAAAATGGGTTGTCAAGCTATTGGCTTGTGAGCCTTCCATCCTGCACCGATGTGACTATGAAGGAAGTCTTTGTTTCTTGGCACCTCATCTTCATAAATAGACCGTCAACTTATTCAGAGTTTTTCCTAATTTAGATATATAAGTAGCTACGTCCTCCAGGGGCTGTTTGGTTCCCTGTTTTTGAGGGAAAGTCTCTCTTGAAAACCTGTCAAAAGTGTCAAAATCGTCACTTTTTGGCAGGCTTTCAAGCAAAATCGCCTCTTTTAGAGACGATTTTACTGAAAGCCTGCCAAAGAAGTGACACTTTGGCAGACTTTCAAGGAAAAAAATTTCTAACCAAACGGACCCTCAGCACAAGCACAAAGAGTACATCTGTAGTTAATTAAGTCTAACACGAATCTCCAAACTAGCTAGAGACAAAGTAAAGCGCTGACCTGAGATACACAAATGAGAAGCCTCTGGAGCTCTTAACTGGATGCATACACCTTGTGATTTCTGTTGTTGTTCTGCAACACATCCCCAGTTTTGAACAGATTATTCTAAATAAATAAAGAAAAGAGTACTACACGCAACAATGAAGCTACAAGGATAGTAAGTGCAAAACAGCCATAACCCACAAAGGGAAACTCTACCAACAAAAATCAGGATTTAGTATCAAAATGCTAATTATTTCAATTAATAAATGCATAGAACCTTACCCTTCTCCAATCTCATTTCGCCAACATAACAAGTAGGAGAAAATACAGGATCCAGAACTGAAACGGGGCTTGGTTGCTCTCCAACACTGTCCACGCTCTTCACAGTCTCCACGCTCTCATCTCCATCACCCTCCACGTTATCGCTTTTGTCTGCAACTCTCACCGCTTCGATGATCCTCTTCAATGACTTCAGGTCCTCGTCGCACTTCTCCAGCGCGCCGAGGAGCTTCCTCCTCTGTCTCCGCGCAGAGGCTGGCGAGCTCACGGAGTCTCCTCTAAGCCCATTAGTCGGCGCGATGGACTGTCGGCGGACGACGAGGGCTGCGAGGGAGAGTCCGCGGATGTTGGTCGCCGGAAAGCGAGTGGGGACAGCGTCGTGGCTGGCGTGGACTTCGCGACGAGACGAGTGCTGCGTTGTTCTACTCGTTCTTCTCCCTGGCGGCGGCGCTGGTCGGCCGTTGCGAGTTTTTGGGTGTCTGGTTTCTGTCGGCCTGGCGGTCGCGGCGGTGGTTGACGAAGGGTGATGGTCCCTCTTTCTTCTCCGGCCTAAAGAGTGATATATTGGTTGTTTGTTTTGAGATGAGATTTTTTTGTCCCTTTTGGGAAGAGTATTAATTTTGGTATATCCAAGTGATAGAAAATTCAAATAAAATTTAGAAAAACATTTAGTAATTTCGGACAGACCATTTGTAGTTCTATCGTCGCAGATAGATCTCATCGGATAGATAAAAGAGTAAAAAAAAAAATTAAAAATTTAAAGATCTATTCACAGTTAGGTGAGAGGGAGGAGTTTAATTAAGGGGGTCTGCCTGTAATCGGTCAATAATACATTAGTGCACGCGATCTATCCATAAAAAAAATGCGGTCCCAATATTTAAAAAAATAAGTTTATGTTTGCGTAAAAATAGTCTACTTTGGTACATGAAAAAGAAAGCTCAAAAATATGAAAGCAGCGCTAAAATATACAATAACAACACTCGATGCCAATCACAAATTAAGAAATTTTTTATAGAGAATATATGATTAATATAGCTGTATGTGTTTAATCTGATTAAATAAAATAAGTAATCCACAAATAAATAACCTCTGAAAATTTAGTACCGTAACTGATAGCGTCCACGGAAAAACAAATTAAAAAACCACTCAAAATTCTAATAAGTCGAGGTATAACAAATCACCTGAAGTGAGCCTCTTCTGAGAGCTGCACTACCCGGTTGTCGCGCCGGAGAGAAACCCTGGCAAGCGGATCCGGTCATGCAGCCGATACTCTTACAGCCGCCCGCCGTCTGCCAGCCTGCCGTTATCCGGTGCCGGCATCGTTGGTTCTCGACGAGACAGTGAGTTCATCAACTTCATGCTCTTCTTCTTCTTCTCGTTGCTCTCCATTGTCTGAACTCTTTTGCAGAGCTGCTTGCTGATTAAAGTGAAAGAGGAGGAAAAAAAAAAAAGCAAAAGAAAGCGATTTAAAGTGCAGGCAGACCGTTTCTTTTTGTCGCAGACTTGGGATCTACTGACCACATGTCCTCGTTGAATATATGGGGGAAATAATCGCATGGGTCCGGCCGTTTGCCATTGTTTATGTCAGAGTCATTGAGAAAGATGGTTAAACTTAGATAATTTATTTAGATGGGTAAAATGGGTGTCTTAGCTAAAATTTATTTTGAGGTTAATTGCAGCTAAGAACCCTCCGGGACTGTTTTGGTTCCCTGTTTTTGAGGGGAAAACTCTCTTGAAAGCCTGTCAAAAGTGTCAAAAATGTCACTTTTTGGCACATGGAACCAAAGAGCCCCTTAATATTGTTGTTCTGAACTTTCCATCTCCCTACTTTTATGTTTGCAGATGCACCTGGCCCCGAATGAAATTTTTTATTATTACGTAACATACCCCTTCGTATGCTTGATTAATGAATGAGATTGCGTTGATCTACCACTCTACTTTTAAATTTGGAATTATTGAATATAAAATTACAGCCCTCAACTTTCGTCATAATTTTAGAGTTTTGATTGATATAGTGACCGAAGTCTTTTATTATATGGTACCAGAACAATATGATTCAAATCCCATCAACCATAAATTTAAGGATTTAAAAAACTTGACACCCCTATTATTGGTGGATCTAGGATTTAACTGGGACAGGACAGGAGTAGTCTAATTTTAATTTTCCATCTACGGTTTCGTAATTACATAGGACGTCCTCTTAAGTGATGTTTTTCTCCCGTTGAACAGGGATATTAATTAATAATATAATTGGAGGGTGAGCGACATAATTTGATCATGGGCCCTAGCAGGGTGTAGGCCGAGCGAGCGGTGATGTGGTCCGGGTCCACATCATTTCTTTTGTGGTAACAGAACCGAAGCAGGGACGTTACGGCACGGGGCTAAAGAAGGGAGAAATTAAACAGGGGAAAAGAGAGAGCGGAGCGCGTGAGGGCAATGATGGGATCGCAATCCGACGCAAACAGCTCAAAGCCACCACGTGCCATGATTTTAGGACTCCCAAGTAAGTTGGCGTAAGCCTTTGAGTGGATGTGGGTCCTATTGACCAGATTCTTGGCCGAGAGACTATTTCCTCATTCATAAACTAAAAATGACCCAAAATATGAGTTTAATACTTTTCTTAGTGCATAATAAACTGGTTATCACCTAACATGTCTTTTATGTTGGCCTCATATTTTGGTTCCCTGTAACAAAACTCTTCATAAAAATTTAATAATATGTAGATTAATTATGATTTATTTATAATATAACTAGAGAGGAGTAATCACATCAAGCTACCCCGAAGGATTGTGTAATTACATGGTAGACCTTAACCCGTGTGTCTACATGGTTGACCTTAAGAAAAGGGGGGAACAAACCAAGTCCAATTTCATCCATTTATTATATTTAGACCATAACTCAAGATACCTGGAAGTAAATAATTTGCATAGATTCTAGTTTTCGCTCAAAATATTTGTATAGGAAACTTTTTGAGTAGTGTTGACACGAGCATTTTTCTTCAATTGAGATGTAGGTATTATCCTTCTTGTGTACATTATTAGAGCAACAATAGATTCTCCTAAGTGAGTTTTGTTTGTTACAAATCTACCTGATCTTGCACTAGTCTACCATGCAAAAACCAAGCGCGAGTTTCTAACCTCTAGTTAATTTATTATAAATTAAAGCTCAAAGGTTAATTAATTAATTAATTAGGCATGTCGGTCCTTATGACGAAGCTGAAGACGGCACTCCACAAGTCATGAAGTTGTTGGATCTCGCGTGTGCCGTATGCTTCCTTAATGTGCGTCAGAGTTTAGGCGGTGAGAATAGGACTTGGAGGTCATTTATGCTGACATTTGTTCCAATTGAGAGTGTTTGAAAAGTCATCCAAATAATGTAAACAACCCCACCGTCAAAAAAAATTTAAAAATAATAAATCATACTTACTCCCTTTAAAAGCACGAGTTCGGAAAATCTTTTTTAGACAAATATACCCATTTATAGTTTGAACTACCTTATCTATAATCAAATTCTAATTTTCAATGGTCAATATTACCCTTCACTACTTTGAATATTTTATTTATATCTTAATCTATCCTAATCATAATCATATCTTATCCTAATCCTATGTGAACCATGTTTAGCTTAACAATTTAAAAAAACTAATATTAATAAAATATATAAAACATAAAAATGATATTAGTTTGTTAAGATAAAGAAATTACAAGTAGATAACATATTATAATACATGAAGTATTGCAAAAAAACCATAAAAAGTTTTAAAATTGCAGAAAAGACCCTGAAAAGTTCAAAATTATAAAACTCATCCAAATGTCTCAAAACTTAAAATAAAAAACATGAAATTAAAAAATTAACATCAGTTTGCAAAGAATTTAAAATTTACAGTTAACACCTCAATGTCTCAAAAATTATAGAAACACCCTCAAAAGTTTAAATTACAGACAAGCACATTAAAATTCTAAAATTTTAAAACTTACAAACAACACAGATGAATTCAAGAGATTACCATGATACACCTAAAATTTTTGATATTTAAATTTAAATTTTTTAATTAACACCCTCAATATCTCAAAAATTATAGAAACACCTTCAAAAGTTTAAATTATAAAAATCCACCCTAAAATTCTAAAATTTGTAAATAAAATAAGATGAATTCAAGATATTACCCTTAGATACCTCAAAAATTAAAATTTGCCAAAATTAACCTCAAAATTTTTAAAAAACTCCTTCAAAATTTAAAAATCGAAAAAAAACTCTAAAGTTTCAAAATTTTTAACTAGCGCACATCAAATTCGTCGATTGGTAGACTGCTAAAATTTAATATTTTTCAAAATTAATCTATAGTTTTAATAATTGCAAAAGACACCCTCAAAATTTTAGAGTTATAAGAAATATACTAACATTTAAAAAATTACCACAAACACATGAAACATAGAATTTACAACTACCAAACTTAAAAGTAAATTTTTTTAAAGACTCTTTCAAAATTTTAAAAATTATAAATCACATCCTCAAAGTTCAAACCCACAAAAATGGGCTAAAATTTTAAAACTTGGCAAAGAAAAGTGTAATTGTTTGGTATTTTTCATATATATATATATATATATTTCTAATTTAGGGATTTACTATCCATTTTCAGCATCTAAGAATAGTCTAAGTTGATACTGGTAAACAAAAACAATAAGAATTGATTAAAAACATCCGGTTAACGGATAAATTTTTTAAAAATATTATAGTTTGAAAATTATCAACACTATATAAATTAAAGTAATTTCATATAATTTTAGTAATAAGTTGGGGTAGCCAAAATACATTCGTAACATTAATTGATAGATGTTTAAATCCATAGAAATGATAAAATACTATAATATTATACCTTAGCATTAATTGATTTTAATTTAGAAACTTTAATCTTTGACGTTAATAATATTTATAGGGTAAAAGAATACAAGGAATTACATATGGAGAAACTATTAGAATATTTAGAGATAACTTTAAAAGAATTGAGTTATTTCCATTGCAAATGGGAAAGTGATGGAAATAAATCTAAAATTCAGAAAACGTCAATAAATCACTTGAATTGGCATTAACATAAGACATATCTATTAATAAAGCACTGAATGAGTTACATTAAAAAATAATTTAATAATTTTATTCTAATCAAAGAAAAAATCTTCATGGAAGACATAAGAAAAATTAGTAAGTATTCATAAATTCCATACTGTGTTCTTCAAATTAAATATTAATATTATAATCTAAGAGAAATTGGTAATGAATAATGCAGGTATTTAGTTTAGATCTTTATGGAAAATAACAGGGATGGAGCAAAGATAATATTATTAAAATAACAGAAATTCTTATTGGATGCACATGAGAAGAATTCATTTTAGAGGAAAATAAAGAGATAGCTTCTAATTTATTTAAGTAATAAATTAGGAACACAAAGAAGTTTATATATATGAAATTAATATTTATTCTCATTGAAATAGAAAAAAAATCAATGTCTATATTTTGAGCAGTTTGTGTTGAACATCATAAGTACATTTGACTTCTTTGTAATGTTAAATGAGATGATAAAAAATTAACGAGCCCAGGAAAGATAATAGCATAAAAAATACAAAATTAGCATGATGTCACAATTGATGTAGATGATGAAGACAATACTCTAGAATTGTCCGAGAAATGATAAATGATAAACCTGAAGAAGGATTGATCTTAACTCAATAAAAAATAAAATAGAAGAAATAAAAACAATATTTTATGAATATTTTATAGAATAGTTTAATTATTTTGAGTGAAATTAGGAATCTTTAGAAGGGAGTTTCATGAATTTTTTTTCAGTACTTTTATATTCTTATGTGGATGTTTTTATCATATAAAAGTATACTATAGTTAGCATTAATGTTTAATTTATATTTTTTTATGAAGTCTATCAATGATTGGGAATAAACTTCATATTCTCTTTTGTATCGTTTTAACATACTTTAAATCAATCATTTTGCCATATTGGTTTTAAATATTCACCTTCCTTGTATAACACTATTTTAATATTTTTTACTTTGCAATGCTATACTTTCTCAAATAAAGCTTAGTTTCATATCGGTCAAAAATAATATGAAAATTCAAATTATTTTTAAATTATATTTGTTTTTTGTCAATTCAAATATCAACATGAAAATTTAAATTGGGTGTATCCCATTTAAACAAATATAAAAAAATAATCGGGATGTAAGAGTTTAAAGAAAAAAATGAGCACAAACTGTCAAAAATACTTAATCATGGTATTAAATCACGTGCATTGCACGTGTGTAAAAACTAGTAAAAAAAGCCCAACAACAAAGATAAATACGTAAATTTAAGAAATGATATTAATTATTTTGAGAATAAAA